GACATGGATCGGGATTCATAGCTCTTAGGATGACACACTGCCAGTTTCTGTGTGTGTCCTGCAATGGCAGCTCTACACAAAGGGCCAGGGAGGAGGGGCACCAGCCTGGGGATTCTGGCACCAGGGCCACTGACACCAGACACAGAAGGTGAGAGCCATGTGGGTGACGGGGACATCAAGGGAAGGACACATCAGGGACCAACTCGGCGATGGGCGTTAGACAAAGGCTTTGTAAATCAAGCCACTGAGCTAACTCTCTGAGGAAAGAAGGAAAGGGAGGTTGGGGGGAGCCAGGGAAGAGACCAATTTCATTATGATGGGCCTGGTGACAATAACCTTTTGTCCTCTAAACAATCTGGGCCTGCCAAGCTGCTCCACAGTCTCCAAGAAAGCATGAGGATCCCGTCAGGAGGCAACAGACTCATCCTTAATTATGAGACAAGGCTTCCCAGAGCTGACATCCTCTCCCACACTTCCTCCCTGCTGCAAGCACTCCACAGAATGCTGGCATGATGCTCCTCTAATGAGAGCAGGCAATTTCCCTAAGCACAGGAGATCTGGTTATTCAGGGGATCCTCCCCTACCATCACCATCCCCAAATCACGCTCAGACTCCTGGTAATGAGTGGTAATGAGTAGCGTTTAATTTGACCAACGGTCTATGGGGTCACATGGGGAGCTAGAAAAGTCACTGCCTGGCAGCTCCTAAAATGCTTCATTCCATTGTCTCATTCCCTTAAGGATTGTCAAGGAGACACCAATTTTAGCAGAGAGAGGCCCCCAACTTAAATTTCTATCAGAGGTCAAAACTGTGTAATACCATCTAGTTCTACCCTGAAAAAAGTTGATTGGCACTGCACATCAGAAAGAGCCCTGGGATGAGAGTCAGGACTGGGCTCTAGTCCTGACTCTGACGCTTGTGCATTGGTAGACGCTGAGCAAACCACAGAGTCCCTCAGGCTCTACTTGCTCAACAGCAAAATGGGAAGAAGGGGCCACCATTTCACAGCTGGCAGTTCAGCACAGTGGCTAGCAGTGCACACTCCAAAACATAACACTGCCTAGATTTACAGGCCAGGTTCTAGAACCTTCTTAGTTGTGTAACCTTGCACAATTTAGCCTCTGTGCTTCAGTTCCCTCATCAGTAAAATGTACTTAGTTGATAGGCCTGTTTTAAGATTTGTTTTAAGAGTTAAATATGAATAATTAAGTAAAGCTCTCATCATAGTGCCTGGCCCACGGCTCTCCCAGTAAATATCAGTCAACCTCATTACTATCATGATTAATGGGAAAGCAGGGGGGGAATTAAAATCTCCACAACTAGAAATTTACTATAAGGATTGAATAGCTTAACAGTAGGTAGACCCTTTGTTAGGGTTCAGAGAAGTCAGTTCACAGCCCAAGGCGACTTCTGAAGCCAAGGAACATAAAGGAGGGTCTAGGGAAGGACTTGTTCGCATCCTGGAGGACCACACACTCCAGATGTCACCAGTCCACCTTCAACCAATTCCAACAACTTGGGAGTGATTAATGACTTTCATGGGAAAAGAAACAGGCTATAGATCCTCACCTCCCTTTCCATAAATTAATTTTCCAGTCTTTCTCTTCTATAGACAATTAAGAAAGACAGAGAGCCACCGTCTTTTTCCCCAGTGCTGGGGATCAGGGACTCACACATACTAAGTGACCCCAGTCTTTTTAAGTCCTAAGAAAATAACTGTTCCATTTTAGGCTGTTAGAGGATAAAAATATTTTTTAAAGGAACTCATTAGTTGGGGGAGGGGGTTACATAAACCATGGTCTAAATTGGTTTTAAATATCCCGAGTTCCTCCGACAAAGATATAAAGGGCTTTCCTTCTCCATAAGTCCCATTTTCAAATCAAAATAAGAACAGGTAAGAAATGCACAAAGGTGTACATAAATCTCTGCTTGTAACTATCCTTGGAGCCAACAGCCATGTTGGGAATTATACTGAAAACAAATCAGATCATGTCTGACTGAAGCCATTCTCGGTCTTGGCTTCTCAATTATTTAGTACCTTCTGTGAAGTTCCATGCAATTAAAAACAGCCCACTTATGGGCTGCTTATCTGCATAGGACCCTGCTAACACAGAGAGACAGAGAGAAAGATGGGGGTGGGGAGAGAAAATATGTGCATGTAACGTTGGGTATAATCTAGTTCTAAATTTACCTGCATTGAGAAAGTTATAAAATGAGGGCAATCTTTAGATGTGTGTTTCAGGAAAAATGTATAAGCCACTCCAAAAGGGGGAAAAATACAGCTTCATGGGAATATAAAACACTAACCTTATCACATGGTTTGAGTGGACTGTTTACAGCCTTTGAAAGCATCTTGCCCATTAAAGTGATGATGCCTCTCATCTCATTAGAAGTGCTTTCCAAAGCTAGTAACAATATATTGTTCTCCCTGCCCCAGATGAATTGACACTAAGCAGCTGCAACAAAGATATTCGTCCAAACAAGTCCTAGGCATGCCATTAACCAAGTTTGTGTTGACTGCTTAGATCTCATTTGCCTTCCTGGCACAGAAAAAACATCCAGACACACTTGCCTCAAGCTCAACGTGTCTCCAATACAAACCCATTGTTCCTGCCTTTCTCTTTGACTGTCCATGACACTGACCTGTAGGCTTACCTTCTGCCAAATAAACCCCTCTACTTTCAGCCAATAAATAACTGCTTTCTATCTACTCTGGGTCATCACAGGACTAAGCACTGGTGCCTGCCTCACGAGGAACTTACAGGCTAATGGAAAAGACATATTTAAATACGTAATTGTAGTCATCAAAGACTGACCTCTAAATAATTTTCTTTTTTGTTGATTTCCTCTCTGTTGTTTTCTGCTTCCATCTCTCTATTTAGTGCTTGAGACCATATATATATATATATATATATATGAGATAACTTTTCCCTGAGTTCCTAAATCTGCTTTCTAAAGTCAGTATCCTGCAGATTTCTCTTAAGATAACCTCACAAAAATATTGCTTTCATTTATTTCTTCTTCTCAGAAATTCACAAGATCAACCTAATAGTCTCTCCCACAGCAAATCACCCATTTCTCTATCTGGCTTTGTATGTTCCCTTAGTACAAGTTCAATGTGTTTCTCACAATCTCTCCTCTTGTATTTAGCCATTTTCCTTATTGTCTTTTTAGATATATCCTCCCACCTCCTTTTACAACCCCGGGGTTCCTAATCTTTCCAAATTGTACAACACCCAGACCAAACTGTCATGGGTATTTCCGAATGACACTAGCCCTCATCTTAAACATCTCTGCAAGAAGTGCTGATCTTGTTGATTGAATACAAATGGATTAGAATAATGACTCTAGGACATAAAAATCCAGAGCTGCAAATATGGTGAACCCTTTTTTGATAAATCCATTTACCTTTTAGAGAAGGGGCAAATATTTTTGGCTCTGTGGGTTACACAGACTCCACTGTAACTACTCAACTGCCTTGCATTGGGGTGAAGGCAGCTATAGTTCAAATATAAACAAAGGGGTGTAGCTGTATTGAGAAGAGAATTATTTACAGATACAGGTGGTGAGCCAACTTTGGCTTTCCAGCAATAGTTTGCTGACCTCATTCTAGACAAAGAAAAGTGGATCTGGGTGAGGATCTGCTTTTTCAGAGGGCAAAGAACAACTAAAGGTCCTTTAGATGAGTCTCTTATGGGTAGTTAAATTTGTTCCTTTATGACAATGTGTGCCCTAGAAGTAGGTCCCCAGCCTGGAAGTCATCAGCATGGGAATCTTGGCTCTGACCATCTGTTCGCAATGAAGAGGGACAGTGAAAGCTATGGCTCTGCTTTTGTGGCAGATGTGGTAAGGAGAGTAAACGACTTCATTCTTCTATTATCCTCCAGACTGACAAGAGGCTCCCTCATTAGATCTCAGGACATAAGCGTAAATCCCCCACACTTCTGAATGTAAGGCTCTGCTCTTTCATTGAATCCTTATTCCAATCCCATAAGGTGTAAAAACTTGTTACCTGTTTACTACTCTGAAGAGACAGGAGGTCTTAGTCAACATTAGACACTGAGGTGTGTTTAGGGAACAAGACACCCCACGTCAAGAGTTCTTATATCAATCTGAATGTGATCAAATGTAGTGGATCCTTCACATCTGCAGGTGTCATTTCTATGGTGTCAATCAACGTGGATGGAAAAAAATTTTTTTAAAGTATCTATAGTGAATATGTCCAGTTTTTTTCTTCACCTTTACTTCCTATGATACAGTGTAGCAACTATTCATATAGAATTTACACTGCATTAGATACATTAAGTAATTGAAAGATGACTTCAAGCATACAGGAAGGAAGATGTGCATTGGCTACATGCAAATGCTATACCATTTTATATAAGGTAGTTGAACATCCTGGAATTTTGGTATCTGTAGGGGATCCTGGAACTCATTTATTACAGATTGAGGAATGAATATAGCCCATTATCTTGAATCTTTACAATGATCCTCAGAGAGCATATCTTTTCTTCACTTTATCCATGGAAAAATAGGCTCTAGGCATTAAGTAGAAAATCAGAATCAGGATTCTGCTCATTTAGAAAGTCAAGGGTCAGGATTCAAATTCAAGCCACTTTGGCTCAATAAATCCTTGGCAGATTCCTTAAATCTTCTCTACCTCTTTAATAACCCTGGCCTAAAAGCACAAAGCTTAATGTGTTTTATAAGGCCCCAAATGATTGTTCCATGCAAAGTGAGGAATTAAGTCACATGAAGAGAGAGGGTCCAGTATCCCCAAGGAGGGCCTCCAAGAAGCAGAGAGAAACCATTGCCTGTGATTTCAGAACTGGTCTTAAGTGAGAAATTCAGAAGCAGTCAAGGCCCATGTCCTTCACCACAAACCCAGGTCTCTGGCTGCACATCCTGATACCAACTGCATAAGTGGCTTTTCACAGTGGTGACGCTTCCTATGCACACCCACTGCAGTGGTACTGGGGAAGAAGGAGGCGTGTTCTTACCAGCCTGTCATATTAAAGTCCCTGTAGAGCATCTTCTTTCCAAGTTCCTTTCTCTGTACTCTCCTTGGAAACTCCAAATGTGTGAACTCATTTCCCAGCAAGTGAGGCTGCATGAATGCCTAATATTAAAAAAAAATAAATAAATAAAAGAAAAGAAAGAAAGCCACACACATTTAAGGATGTTTTATAAATTGAGACAGGCCATAGTTCATAAACAAGAAAATCATCTCATACTTTAAGGGAAATAAATAAGTTTCAGTATTTAAACACTAATAGAAGATGACCAAATAGAAATCTTGCACTTAATAAAGGGATGTCACTTTTTCATTTAGTATGAAATATTGCTATCAGAGACGCATAGAATAAAAGGTGTAATGAAAAGAAACTGAGCTCCAAAGTTCACAGATGGCTCTCTATCCTGAATGGCACGTGGTGAGGTAGAAGGCAAGCACTCTTACCCCGACTCTCTTTGCTCTCATCTCCTTAATACCTGCAGTTACCATGGCCTTGCCTTTGAAAGCTGCATGTGAGTCTCCAATAAACTCAGGGCTTGAGGCTGCAGGGTGGGGCCAGATTCACCAGACAGGAACATTTTTCTGGACCCCCTCCAGTTTGTACTGCAGTCATTTGCTCCTGTCATTGGAAGACTATTCCGGAGCAGATGGCTTCTCCCCCCCCCCCCCCCCCCCCCCCCCGCCCCCAATCTCTGTTCACAGGACCAAAGTCTTGAGCAAACAGCCACTTAGGGAATTGCTTTGAAAAAAACAAACAGTCTCATTGTCACATTCAGAATTAAAATCTGGCTGTCCAAGAGCTGGAATGCTCCTGTTTTAACATCCCTGCTCAGGGGCCACACACTGTAAACGTACCTACACTAGAACTTCCCGCATCACGCCTGACGCCTACATAATACCAGAGTGGTGGGATGGATCGTCTCTCTTCATTGGCAGGGAAAAGAGTGGGCAGAGCACATCATGGCCTGGCACTGTGGGAAAACAAGGGATCCCTACCGCCAGACAGATGGTCATATCCTCAGTTTACAGGAATAGGTTGAATAATCCTTATTTGAAATTTTTTGGTCCATGAAGTACTTAGAATTTTTTTTAAAAAAATATTTCAATACACCTAATAAGGCACCTTGGGAAGGGGACCCAAGTTTAAATACAAAATTCACTTATGTTTCATATGTATCTTATACACATATCCTGGTGGTAATTTTATATAGTATTTTCTGGTGTGCCTGTGTTTGGAGTACAATCTGTCATGTGAGGTCAAGGTGGAATTTTCCATTTATGGCATTATGTCAGTGCTCAGAATTTTTCAGATTTTTAGAGAATTTCAGGTTTTGGGATTTTTTTTTATATTAGGGATGTTCAACCTACAACAGACAGCTCTCATGGTCTCCTTCCTAGGACCAGAGGCCAGCAGATCTTCCACTGATGCTCCTAGTGATTTAGAGGTACTAGTTAGACATTAGGCACTGGAAATTAAGTTTTATTAGGAGCCAAGGGAAGCAAGCTGAATTGTCTACCAAGCTGGTCATGTTTGGCCACTGGTAGAACTCTGAGGCAGTAGTTCTGGGCAGGTGGGGGCTGGACAGAATGGGGTGACAGGACAGGATAACTGAGGCTGAGAGGCTTGTGTTTTTCCTGTCTGAAGCAGGTTCCAGATCTGGTGGGAATTCTGGAGGGTCTGAAACTCTGTGGGAGGTGAGACTTGGGCTGCTGCTGATTACCAAGAAAGCTTTAATTCTGGGTTTTATAGAGAAGTTCTCCTGGGAAGGAAGGAAGGAAAGGAAATTATATGCAAAAGGGCAGGTCAGTGATATGGGCTACATATGAGACATATGAGTCTGCATTCAAGATAGCCCTTCTATTCCTCACACTTACTTAAAAAAAAAACAGCAGGAGATACACAGAAGGCCTGTGAACCTTTGCTCCTAGACCATGCAGCCTGAGTCAGCAGAAACAGTTAAATAATAAATGAAATACAGATTTGCACACAGAATTTATAAACTACATTTATGAACTGTGTGATTTTAGTGGGTGGTTTAATTTCATGATTTCCTTACCTATAAAATGAGATTAATTGTATATTTTTATAATTAAGTGAAATGTCTCTAAGGTACTGATCAGGGTTGTCATTGCTCGAAAACAATAACTATTATAGCCATTTCATGATTATTGAGTCCTATCACAACCTGAGTACTATGCTCAGAGACTTGTATGTTTCATCTCACCCTCCAACAACCACATGGGCAGGAGTAGCTACTTAATTTGTCGGGTCCAGTGCAAAATGAAAATATGGAGCCTCTGTTCAAAATTAAGAATTTCAAGGAAGGCACTGGGTACATTAAGCCAAACACAAGCCCTGTGTGACTGTACAAGAAGTTCAGCCATTTTGAAGGGTAGAGAACATTTTACTCCTCTTTTATTTTGGTCCACCAATGAAAACTAAGGAATAGAGGTTTAAGTAGTCAGTAAACAGAAGCATCTGTTGTGTATCCTTTATCAAGTTTCAGAACTTTGAGACTGTATGAGCATGGAGTTTTGATCCACTGCAGTCCCTACCTGCAAGCTGGAATCACACTGATTTAGGGGTTACCATCTGCCTTATACTAGGGACTTGATACATGCCATCTTAGTCATTCAGTACTACAAAGCCTATATCACATAACCCAACTTACAAATGAGGAAACTAAGTCTCAGAAAGGTTAAGACCCTAACCCAAGGTCATCAGCTAGGACTGAGTGGTTCTACAGCCTGAGTTTAACATCCTCCTCAAAACCCTATCCTATCACCCTATGGTAGCCCTTCTATCCCTCACACTCACTTAAAAAAAACAGCAGGAGAGAGACAGAAGGCCTGTGAACATTTGCTCCTAGACCATGCAGCCTGAGTCAGCAGATACAGTTAAATAATAAATGAAATACAGATTTTCACACAGAATGGTTGCAAGGATGTTCCTGACATTATTTTTAACAGCAAATAACTAGAGAAAATCATTTAATAATGAGGGACTAAATAAACTAGCATAAATTCATTCCAAGGAACTCCATGTTATCATTTAAGATGATGCTACAGAGAATATACAACGACTCACCAGAGTTGATTTCACTGTACGAAGAAGGTTAACAAATGCTACGTGTCTGCACAAGAGCATAAGTTTACATGTGTCATGTCATGTATACACAGATCTACATATTAAGTATATATGTATGTAAAAATGAGTGTGTGCTATGGTGTGAATGTGTCTAAAATTCATGTGCTGTACACAATCCCCCAATGCCGTCTTCTGGGAGGTAATAGGTCCTGGGGCTTAGCACTTGTGCATGGCTAATGCTGCTGTAAAAAGGACCTGTGGGAGTAGATTTCTCTTTCCCTCTGCTTTCTGCAGGTGAGGACATAGCGAGTAGGCCCACACCAGATAGCTGGCATCTTGATCATGGACTTCTAGACTGCAGAAATGTGAGAAAGAAATTTTTTCTTCTTTATACATTACCCAGTCTGTGGTATTCTGTTATATCAGCACAAAATGGACTACGACAGCATGTGTGTATAAATAGATACACAACATATATGTGCATTAGTGACAAACCAGACAGGACCCAAAGAACGTTTCTGAGCACATCTGGGACATGTTACACCCAAAATGACATTTGGCACTTCAGGAAACAGCAGAAGTAGGCTGCTATGGTTTGAAAGCATCCGTCAAAAACCACTGTATTGAAGGCTTGGTCATTAGCCTCTGGTGCTAGACTGAGATCTCTGAGACTGTGAGCAAAAATAAACCTTTTCTCCTTTTAGATTGATTTATCTCAGGTACCTGTTACAATGGCAGGCAGCTGACTAACACAGAGACCATGAACACTAGAAAGAATTCTTCCTACCTCTTTCCCCAAAGCAGGCCATAAAATTTAGATGACTGTCTTCTGAAATTGGTTGTAAGACACTCACTCATTCCATACCCTGCTCCATACCCAGGGGAAAGGAATGTCACACAAGGATGCCAAGAAAATTCTAAAAGAACAGGCCTTGCTGAGCTAATCCCCTTCCCCCAGGTAACGACCATTAGATCATAAACCTTCTATTCTCCAATCAAATTTATACATGACTGTCCATAAAAATAAGTCTTCTTTGTTTCTTTGGCTCTTCATTTCCAAAGGATCTTGTATCACATGCAATTTATATTAAATACATTTTAGACTTTTCTCTTAATTTGTTCATGGCTATTGGCCATGAACCCAGAAATGAAGAACAACAACAACATCCGTTCTCTCTTACAAGGGAAGTGTGAAGTTTGAGGCCCTATACCTGTTAACAAATGAGTGGACCTGTGGGTGGTGCCTTAACCAGGTACCCTTGTGCCATTTTTTGTTGGTATACGTTTGCCTGGGCTGCTGTATCAGAGGATCTGTTGAGGCAGGTACCTGCAGGCTAGCTGGCAACTCCTCAGTGGCTTTGTTATCTGCAGGGGCTGCTTCACCTCTCCTTTGAGGATGTGCGTGTTCAAAGGAGGCTTGAATTCTGTGTCACTTGTGGTCGGTAGCCTCCTCACATGTGAAGTCTTTCACAATCTCAACAGAGTGTTTTCTGTACAAAAAACTGTATTTCATCCAATCTAAGATGCCATTTATTAAATGCACCATTATTTTATGACCTCTAAGAAAATAAGAGCTGCCAATTAAATTGTGCTCAATGCTTTCTTACCGTTTCAGACTTTTGCTTTGCTCATTCTGGAAGAGCTCCTTTAGACTGAAGACAAATTTTATTACCTTTTACTTTTGTGTATACTTAGTAAAGGATATAGAAGCAAAGTACAGATGGTCCATGACTTACAATGGGACCACATTCCCAACATAATCCACTATAAGTTGAAAATGCCTTTAATAGTCCTAACCTACTGAACATCATAGTTGGGCAACACAGGGCCATGCAGAACATCCACTGTTCACCCTTGAGATCTGGTGGCTGGGACTGGGAGCTGTGGTTTGCTGCTGCTCCCCAGCATCATAAGAGAGAATTGTGCTACATTTCACTAGCTTGAGAAAAGAAATCAAAATTCACCACTGAAGCATGGGTTCTATTGAATGTGTATTGCTTTTACACTGTTGTAAAGT